GATAGCGCCTGTGACAAGAACGATAATATAGCACAAGACAAGGCCATAATTCTGAACTGTCAAAAGCTCAAGAAAAGGGCATCCGTCTGAGCTGAAATTTTTTGTGGTATTATAATGGCTCTGAGATCTATCTATGAATAAAGTTTCAGGTACATATATCGTAACCCAGTTATCCATCAATACCTAACCCAAAGGCCGAAAACATCAGTAAAATGGCAATAACTCTTGCTCAGTAGCTCATGAGCACTTATTCTGTTGGAATTTTCTTAGTCCCACCAAGTCCTACTTATGGACAAAATGTCACCTCAAAAGCGGGTGCATCAGTTGGGATACCTCCCTTCTCAGTTCACTTACTGATTGAACTACTATCTTCAATAATGAATAAGTAAATGTTCTGTTTGTTCGACTTTTAGAACAAAATTAGTTATGTATTCCAGTGGCAACTAGATAATATTTGTTACATTCTGATACATCTGTCTTCAAAATTGTATTGCTCAAAGGTCGTACAGCACAAATAGTAAAACTTCACCTACTTACATTTAAGTCACGTCTGCTCGAAAATAAAAAATATTTCGATTTTCAATTCAAACATCAGCATAATGGATGAAAAACCGGCGTACCTAGAGCGAACGCGAAACAAGCTAGAACATGCGAAGAACGTTCAAGAGAAGTTCGAAATGAGACTATGTAGCCAAGATTTTGTTATTTATCCGAATGTTTTCAACCCAAACATATTCTTCGGTACAGAATTTCTTGGAGAAGAAGTAATTAAACTAGTCTTGGAATTTCAAATGAGACAACCGAAAGTTCTTGAAATTGGAACTGGCGCTGGCTACATGGCTATACTAGCTGTTCTGAATGGTGCATCTCACGCCACAGGTACCGACATCAATAGATGCTCTGAAAAATGCCGAAGAAAATGTGAACAAATACAATATGCAGGATCGTATTACTCTGAAGCACAGCGACGTTTTCGACGCACTGAACTCCAATGATAAATATGATATCATTTTCTGGAACTATCCGTTCGGTCACGTTAACAAACCAGTGGAAGAACTAGAAATATTAGAACGAGCACTAATGGATTCATTTTATAAATCGCTTGATCAATATCTAAAGAGTGCAAATCAGTATTTGAATCCAGATGGAGGACGATTATTTATTGGTTTTTCAATTACGGCTGGTTATAAACAGATTTCAGACGATATTGCAAAAAATGACAACTGAAACGTTCATCTTAGGAACGAAATTAAATCAGATACTGTCCCTGTTATGCAGATTGGAATGTATGAGCTTACGAGACCTCAATAGGAGACAAATATGTAATTTCGTTTTGATTTCTCTAAACTGAGTTTTCATATTCAGAGTTTTGTCATTTGTACTGAACTACTGCAGTTTTACATTGAAACAAGGGGGAAAAGCAGATTTCAGGATTCGAACGGATCCCAATGGACACTAATGAGTTGCACTAAATCCCAATAAATCCTATGAGATTCAACGGGATCTTCTTTTCCCCGTTGATTTTATCATATCGGGGTGATTCCGCCGAATATGAATGATTATCTATCATATTCTGATATATACATGTCTCATGTATCTGACTAATAATTCAGTAATTTAATTCAGATGCTTTTTCTGAGACTGCAATCATTGTGAGGAGGATGCTTCCCGTGCAAAACATGATTGTTTTTGTTACAAACTCTACAACACGGCATTGAGCACCTGAGGACACTACTATGTACTTAGTTGACCACTTTGGTACTCCGATGTCTACGGAATCTTTCAATATCAACACGAGCAGTTTAGTGACGATGGATCAGAGTACTGGTGCATGATTTCCTCAGCATTTCCAATGTTTTGTACATGATTTGTAAAATTCCTAAGAAAACTGGCGACTAATACAGCGAAATTCATGTTAAATGAAATTTTCGAGATTTTCAAACTTACGTGAAAAATCATTGGTGTAAGCTGATAGAGGACACTCTGGCCTACAAAACGTGATATCCCACTAGTATGAGGAATTCTGCTTGCAAAAGATATAGTCAACGACTTTTTGGTTATTTAATGAGTGTGGTCCTCCCAGCGTAGACTCAATAACTTTCTTAAAGTACATTCAACTGAAGATCCTGAAGATGTTTTCAGATTCAGCGCTTCACCAGCTTTCTAACGATATATACATGTCTAGTGTTCATACGTCCTATGGATGAACTATTCATATTGGATTGAAAAATTGGCCATACATCTCAGCCAAAATCGTGATTTTCGACCATTTTGAGCGACGCTCGGCATTCCTCAAAGAAGGATTGTGGAGAGGAGCTGTTGACGGTAAGCCTAGGTTATCGTATGCGCTCTACACGACTGTGCAGTTTAAATTCGATTCGGAAGAAGTCGATGTAAACGTGCCACATATTCAGCGGAATCACCCAATAGAATGAGATATTCTACGGCTTAGGCTAGCGCAGCCGGAAACATACCAATACTGGAGAAGTTTTGATGGTTTTCATCAGATCTGACTGAAGGAGTTTCGTTCTGTCATTTTTCTGGTCTATTCCTGAGTCTCTCAACTCAGAAAAGGCGCTTCGCGACAACTTGGTTTCTTTGAGCATCATACGATGATTCACACTAATAAAACGAACGCCCTTCTATAACCTCACATAATGTAAGTTTACGAGGGATTGTAAATTCTTTCCAGCACTGTTGGATGTGTGACCGCTCGTCGCACTCTCATCTTCACTTCTAGAGTCGAACAGACAGTTGACCTTTTCGCGTATTTTTTGGGTCCTATGCTGTATCGAATGAGTATAGCTTAGCGAGGCGCATGTAAGAGAAAAGAGAAAGAGCGAGTAAACATCGGGTCATTGAACGATAAGTCCTATTTAATAGATTCCCCATCCATTCAACAGCTGATGCTCTCTACACTCGTCTTGCAATCGTTGATCCTCTGCATTGGCACTGCCGTCTTCTACTACCTCACCGCAGGAAACTCAAACATTTCGCTGGGCCATCAATTCGGATATACACAACACCTCATGTGGCTAAGTGATTAAGCGAGAAACGTCAGTGCTGCTTCTTGGGATTCGGATAAGCTCAAATTTATCATGGGGAGAGCATGTTGGAGATTTAGCTCTTGCACGAAAAAGGCGTCTGCGAGCAATGTTTCAAACTTTTAGAGAAGCGTCAGTGAAAATCCAGCTAGCGATTTTTTAAATTACGTATTTTAGGTAAACTATTAAATAGAGTTAACGTTAGTTATTAAAACGCTGCAGTAAGTGTCCCATCCGAAAAGTCTGAGCGCACATTTATTTTCTTAATAACCGGAGAAAGATAGAAGATAAAGACCTGGGGTTTTCGCCATTGCACATAAGAGATTCTAGGTATGAAAGTATGAACAAATTTGATTGATCAATTTGCTGATCAACCGGATTTTAGTATATTTTCATGATCAGTAATATTCTTTTGATTAAGTTTTCAATGAAAATGTTTCAAAATGATAACAACATTTTACAAAGAAGTTTTCTTTAACGCTAAACTAACGTAGAACTGATCGTATATCAAGTAAATTTATGCCTCCCATGTTCGGGTGTAGATCCAAACGACCTCTGCTCTATTGACTTCGAAGTCTCTTTTTCTGATTTATTTGATCCACCATGAATATTGATTCAGGCAAGAACAGC